CGTCCACATAACTTGAGGCAGGACGATGCGGTTGCCTCGGGTGTCGCCAATGGTAATTTCCACGTAGGAAATAGGTCCCACAGCGATCCCAATCTCTAAAAACTTGTACGCTGTCGGTGTCAATGCGAATATTCTTCTCAAAATTGTACGAGAAAACGCGTTGTAATGAAGAAGAACAAGCGAATGAGTAATCCATAGAGAAAAATTTTTCACAAATACAATTGAAATACTTACTTGCGCGGTTCATGTTGAACGTAAGAAATAGCACTAGAGATCACTGCAAAACGAATCTGTCGGGACGATTGATGCAGTATCGTTGTACCGTTTTCTATTTAAATCTTATCCCCTCCAACAATTTTGTAACAAAAGATTTTTTAGACACATCTGGTGATGACATCAATGTAATCTAATACTAAAAATTGCAGCGTCTGCAAATTTGCAAGTTCCAATGCAACTTTGTCAGCGTAATGCAAGAATTTTTTTCAAGGGCATTCAACATGTTGCAATATGTTTCGCGATGACATCATTTTAACACGTGCAAAATGCACCCCTTACAATAAAAGATTTTAGACGTATCCGGTGATGACATCAATGTCATCTAATACAGCGAAAAATACTATATTTGCAAATATATAACTGCTTTGTTAGCGTAATATAAGAAATTTTTTCAAGGATATTCAACATATTATGACATGTTTTGCGGTAACATCATCAATTTAACACGTGCAAAAGTGCACCTCTTACAAAAAAGATTTTAGACGCATCCGGTGATGACATCAATGTAACCTAATACAGCAAAAAATGCAACATTTGCAAATATATAACTGCTTTGTCAACGTAATATAGGAAATTTTTTTCAAGGACATTCAACATATTACAACATATTTTGTGGTGACATTATCATCAATGTAATTTGATATAACACCTACAAAAAAATGCAACATTTGCAATTTCATCAAAATATAGTTGCTTTGTTAGCGTAATTTAAGATTTTTGTCAAGAGCACTCTGATATCATTAATAAAAAATAGCGCGCATAATGATATAAAAATGACAAGATTTAGACACATCGCGTCATTAGTCAATTTAACAGCACAAGTGACAACATGGAGCATGATTTGAATGAGCAAGCTACCCAGCTTAATACATGTGAAGAGTATGTCGCGTGGGAACAACGTTGCGATGAATTTATAGAATCTCTGGAGGAGCAGAGCCGTATCAAACGCCCGCGATTATCGATCGGTAATAGACAATCAGTGATCGCATGTATCGCGCGACTTGAAAGCTTGAAGGATTCGGTGCGTGGACGATTCGTGCATGTTGGCACAGGATATGGACTTCGATGGCGCGAGATCGAAACGGCGTTCGAAAGCCGCATTCTGCGATTTCTCGAAGATGCGAGTGAAATTGTGCTCGAGCGTGTACAGTGTATCATGCAGAGATATGGCTCTATAAAAATAAACACTATTTTTAATGGTGAGTTTGTGGTTGGTGACAAACGCGCGAACAAGAGCATCGCCACCCGGAACATTGAAGCCTTTCGATGTACCGATTTGCGCGAGTGGTACGTGACGCGCGTCGTGCCTATCCTAGCATCATTGGAAGGGTTCCAGGAACGTGACAGCGGATGGGCACTGTCGCGTATACTAAATTTGGCGGTGAACGCGAATAAACTAAATCCTCTGCGCGCGGGATGTCACCTCAAACTCCCGCGAGAAATTATGTTAAAGAGAGCGGTTATCAACGTGCAATCCACAGACAATGCGTGTTTCGCATGGTCGGTGGTTGCTGCTCTGTATCCCGTTGATAGTCATACATATTGAATATCATCATATCCGCACTACTCATCGGTATTGAATCTCGCGGGCATCGAATTTCCGATGACATCGAGCCAAATTAAGAAATTTGAAGCTCTAAACGACATTTCCATCAATGTCTACACCGATGAGAAGGGGATTGTGCCGATACGACTCGCCGATCGAAAGAGAAGCAAGCACATAAACCTGCTGTACGTGAAGGACGATAGCGCGGGACACTTTGCGTTCATTAAAGATCTATCTCGCCTTGTGAGATCGCAGATTACTAGAAACAAGAACAGGAAATATTTCTGCGATAGGTACATATTAATAATAATAATAATAATAATAACTATAATAATTGTTTCCAAATGCCTCCACTACTTTAGCACGAGCGCAAAATTGGAGACCGATAGCGAGGATTATAGAAAACTGAATGATTACGCAATCAGACTACCGAGCGAGGACGACAAATGGCTGAGCTTTCGCAACCACTGCCGGAAAGAGCGCGTCCCGTTCATAGTCTACGCCGATCTTGAGTGTGCATTGGAAAGAATAGATAGCGATTCACAATCTGCTACGCATACGTACATACCAACACCATAACGTCTTCAGCATTGGATACTACGTGCACTGCTCCTACGACAGCTCACTGTCAGGCTATCGATTCGCCGCGACAAAGACTGTATAGCGTGGTTCGCGGAAGAACTTAGACAGTTAGCACATAGTGTACAGTCTATAATTTCGGCCAATGTTCCCATGGCGGATTTCACGCGCGACGACTGGGAAAATTTTACCAACGCCTCGCATTGTCACGTGTGCGAGAAACCGTTCGCGAAAAACGATACGCGGATACGCGATCACTGCCACTTAATCGGGCGATACAGAGGCCCCGCGCACTCAAATTGCAATCTAAATTATAAGGATTCGCGTTGCATACCCGTAGTTTTCCTTAACTTATCAGGCTATGACGCTCATTTTATTATCAAGGAAATTGCAACTGCATATGAAGGATGCGTATATCTGCTTCCAATAACTAAAGAAAAATATATATCTTTTACTAAACGTGTCGATAGTACAAAAATTGATCAAAAAATTGTGTGCAATTACGTTTCATAGATTCATATAGATTTCTCGCTTCTAGTTTGGACAAATTGTCATCTTTTCTCAACAATGATAAGCTGCGGGTACTGCGACGCGAATTTTCTAATTTATCG